TTGCAGATGAGGAGACTGAGGCACAGAGAGGGGTGGGAACCTGCCTCACCAGCAAAGCTTTGCAGGTAGCCGTGGCCCAGAGCAGAGCGCTTTCCACTGAGCCACCCTGCCCAGCTTGCAGGGGAGGTTTTGCATGCTCCCTTTCGGAGGCTCTCCTGTGGCCCAGGGGAATCTGATCACATGTGAACCTACCCAGCACCCGTCTGACCTCCCCGCCCCTGGACCATCCTGGTGCTTGGTCCGGGTCCAGCCCAGGGAGCAAGACAGGCACCCAGACGGGGACAAATGGACATCCTTGAAAGTGGACACAGGGCTCTAAGCAATCGCACAGAGGCATGGCCTGGGGAGAGGTCAAGGACAGGCCCTGGAGGAAACGGTGTTTGGATAGAAAGCTTGAGGTGGAGGATTAGCTGTGGGACAGGGACGGTCCCTGACAGAAGGCGCAGCCGGGAGGGACCCAAGAGGAGCCCAAGAGCGAGGCAGCTCCCCCGGCTGCGTGAGGGTCCCGTCCTGAGGCTGGGAAGATGGGTGGCCATGCTTCCCACCTTCTCCACCAGGAACAGCTAAAAGCCCGGGCGCCGCGTACAAGGGGACAGACAGGTGGGAAGAGAAGGCGGATGGGCTCCGACGAGGACCCGAGGAGCAACGCCGGGTCAGCCCTGGAGTCTGGTCGATGCCTCAGAAATCCAAGACGCAGCTGGTGGAGCTGGCAACCCGGAAACACCAGCCCGCGCAGAAAACGTCAAGCACCCTCTTATCCAAGGACGGTGTCCTCGCCACGGCATGGTGGAAGACCATGAGGTGTGTCCAAAGCCACCCACTCCCCACGCCTCCCTTCTGAAGAGCATTCTGCCTGCCATCCGGACAGGATCTGTGGCTCCCATTCCTTCTCTAGCTATGACACACCTTTGTCAGAAAAGCACAGAGAGGATAAGGACCTTGCCGGAGGTCACACACCAAGTTCAAACAGAAAGCCAAGTTTCTCAGCCTTGAGCCTGGCACCTCTAACTCCAAAGCCCCGATTCGGAAACAAGAAAACCAGCTCCATCTTTTACAAAACTCCAAGGACAGAGATTGAGGTTTCTCTCTTGGGTGTTGGGGGGAGGGGGTTAGAGAGCTCCCTCCTCCAGACCGGCCTGTGCCTTGGCCACCAGGGTCCCTGTGAGCCTGGGACATAAGCCCAGGGCAGCAGAAGACCCTGAGTGCCAAGGACCTCATGACACTGTGAAAGGAGAGTGACCTGGCCCGGGGCTTGAGGAAGTGGGGTGTCAGAAGTCACTTGGGGGTCGGGTGGCAGGAGGGGTGCAGTGGTGGAAGCAGTGGGGACACTCACCTGGAGACTGGACCACCTGCCCCACTGGGCAGACGGTGTGCAGTGAGCAGCGGGCACAGGAGTTGGTGGCTGACGTGGAGCAGAACGAGCCTGGCCGGCACTGGCAGACGCGGGGGGACGTTCCGGAGCAAGGCGCCTTCTCCACGAGGTCTGCGGACGGATGGACAGGCGGATGGACAGGGGGAAGGGGCGGGGTCAGGGGATTTCCAGAGAATTCCTGACATGAGGACAAAGGGCAGGCAGGGGCACCCGCAGCCTCCGCCTCCCCACCCAGTCCCCGGCCACCACCCAGGTGGGTCAGAGAAATCAATTAGTCAAAGCCCCAGTTTAGAAACAAGCAAAGAAGACATTGGGGGGCGGGGGGCCTTGGACAGTACTGCTGGGTGGAAGAGGTGCAAGACCCAGGCAGAAAACGCCCTGACCCAGGGGATGCTCCAGAAAAGAGGAGGCTCAATTACAGAGACAGGAAAGCAATCTGTGGTTGCCAGGGGTAGGGAGGATGGAGGGATGATGGTGCGAGGCTAGTCCGCAGGATACTGTGACGGTGGACACACGTCATTATCCATTTGTCAAAAGCCACAGACTGTACAACCCCGGGAGTGAGTCCTAATGTGAAGTGTGGCCTGTTGTTAATAGTAATGTATCAATAATGGCTCCTCAGTGACAAGGGACATACCGTAATGTATCAATAATGGCTCCTCAGTGACAAGGGACATACCATGCTGATGCAAAATGTCAACGGCAGGGGGAATTGGTAACGGGTAGAGGGAGGTCACCTGGGAACTCTGTATTTCCTGTTCAATCTTTCTATCCATTCCAACCGCTCTAAAATAACATCTGCCAATTTTTTAGTGGACAAAGGATTTGAGTCAACATGTCTGCAAAGGCATATTGATGACCAATGAGTGCATGAAGAAAATGCTCCCCATCACAAGCCCCACTGGGGTGTCTAAAGAAAAAAGACAAGAGCAAGTGTTGCCAAAAGCTGCAGTTTGGCTTTGTGTGTGTGGGGGGGGGTTGTACCCTGGGGCACTTAGCCACTGAGCTGCATCCCCAGCCCTTTTATTTTTGAGACAGGGTCTTGCTAAGTTGCTGAGGCTGGCCTTAAACTTGCAATCTTACTGCCTCAATCTCAAATTGCTGGGATTACAGGTGTGTGCCACCATGCCTGGCTGTAGTCCCTCAAAGGTGCATGTGTTGAAGGCTTGCATCCCAGCCAGTGACACTACTGAGAGGTGGCAGAACCCTCAGGAGGTGGGGCCAGGTAAAGGAAGTGAGGCTGGTGGGGGGGCACCCTTGAAGGGGATACTGGGACCTCCCACCCCTTTCTGTCTCACCCTCTTTGCTTCCCAGGCCACCAAGAGGTGAACAGGCCTCTTCCAGGCTCTGCCACTATAATGTACTGGGCCACCAAAGGTTCACAAAACAGGCCTAGTGACCATGGACTGAAACCCTGGCCAAGGTAAGCCTTCTGTCAAGTTGAGAGTCCCCGGTATTCTGTCACGTGCTGGAAAGAAGACGGACAGGAAGGTAGGGAGGCTGCCATCCTCAGACCTTGCTGGAAGGAAGGCAAGTCCACTGGCCCTTCCTGAGAAAGGTACACACACGGTCACCAAATGGTGTCCGTGCCACACCTAGGTGGATGCCCGAGAGAACTGAGAAGCTGTGTCCACAGAAAGGCGTGGGCACAAGGGTTCAGAGGAGCATTATTGGCAACGGCTGGAAAGTATAGACCCAAGTGTCCACTGACTGATGAAGGATAAAGACAATGCAGAGACCACGCTGTGCTCGGAAAACCCGTGCAAAAGAACCAACTGCAAGTTGCTGTCAGGCTGAAGACATCCCCAGGGCCGCAGAGCGCACCTACAGGGGCCCTGAGAGAAGTGTGGTCAAGGGCGGTGGCAAGACTGGTGAATCCCCCTGACTTGGGTCAGAGGGAGGGGTTCTTGCAGTTGGTGGTCAGGAACAAAGGGACTTTATCCATGCCGGAATGTTCTGGTTTATCTCAAGGTAATGTCAAGGCCACCAGCACATTCCTGGAGCTGACAGTGGGTCCTGTTGTCAAGCTCCACATACTGCTCCACTGGCTTTGTTCACCCACAGCATGCTGGGAGACTCTGGCCAGGGTCACTCGGGGGCCCTGTGGTCTTATGGTTCAAGATGGCCGAGGTCAGGTCAAGCTGAATCCCTCCAGACATAGTGCTATATTCAGCCATAAAAAGAAATGAAGTACTGACCCGGCTCTAGTGTGGATAAACGTTGAGATCCCTGCTACGTGAAAGAGAGCAGCCGCTAAACCCACGTACGGCCTGACTCCACTGATATGAAATGTCCAAAGTGGGGCAAATCCATGGAGATGGAAAGAAGATGCCACAGAGTGGGGTGTGCCGCTGTCTAGGCAGCAGGACCTCTGACCGGGACGCTGACAGAGGCCAAGCAGATCCCTGTCCCCCAGCAAGGAAGAGGCCCATCTCTGGCTGAACCGCGCTTCCCATCCTGGGCCCCTGGCTCCCAAAATACTGCTCAGTCCCCAGCGGAGCCAATCGTGAGGTAGGTTGGGCAGCCATGACCAGGTGGGCAGGACAGGGCAGTAGGGATGAATCAGAGTCCACAGGTCACGGGGCTGGAGATAATAGGGAACTTCAACACAAAAGAAGCTGTGTACCCTGGCAGCCCTAATCCCTGCTGTGGGGGAGGAAGGAAGCTCAGCCACCAGGCTCCACCCACGATCAGGTGGGCAGGGAGCAGCTGGGGGGAAGATGGGGAAAATCACCGTTTCAGAAGTTCCATCCCCAAAGCTCTAGAAAGGAGCGGAAGGGGCAAAGGGGTGCATTACGACAAAAGATGAAATTTCAACCCCTTCCTAGGCCCAGGGGCCACCTTATCAGGTCATAGGGAGCAAAGCCTCCTGGGAAACATCAGGACTCTGTAGGTCCCCGAGCCACCGCCCTGGGGTGACCCGCTCAGTCTGTCCTGAACTCCTGCTTGTCACTCTGTGCGACTCACTGGAAACTCTTGCTGCGAGGCTGTGACACCTAGCAGCTAGGACCCCGCAGCCACTTGGGCCGGCAGCAGATCCACACCATGTTGGCCAAAAAAGCCAAAATAAGAGGATTGTGACTTTACCACAGGAGACAGTGCTGCCTTAAAAGATTCTTAACCTCTCATCAAGCAAGAATCATAACCTCTTTTCTTAATTTTTTTTTTCCTGGTGCTAGGGATCAGACCTTGGCCTTGCCCGTGCTGGGCGGGCACTCTTGCCACTGAGCCACACCCCCATCCCTCTTTTCTTAACTTTAGAGAAATTTTTAAGGAGATACTATCTCTTCTAATAAAAATACTTAGTTTATCTAAGATCTGTCACTTCCTTAGTTACATTTTAGTTTCTTCTTCCTCTGATACATTCAACTAAATTGAATGTGGATTTTAATGTCATGAATAATACGCTGCCATTCTCTTAAAACGCCTTCTCTCTTGGTGTCTAGTCTGTCTGGACCCTAGCTACCCATCTTCCTCTCTCAGGTGGGGGACAAAGAGGCGTCAATCATCCAATGATGACACAAGTTCCTTACCGATGAAGGACTAGGGAGGACAGCATGCTCTCCTGGAGTGTGTGAATGTCTTAAAACAAACATATATAACTTTTACTTCCTACACTGCGGTCATGACATTTAAAAATATAAAGATCGCCAGGTGCAGTGGCACATGTCTGCAAACCCAGCAATGCAGGAGGCTGAGGTAGGAGGATTACAAGTTCAAGGCCAGCCTCAGCAACTTAGCAAGACGGTATCTCAAAAAAATAAATAAAAAGGACTGAAGGTATAGGTTAGAGGTAAGGTGCCCCTGGGTTCAATCCCCAGCACTGAAGAAAAAGAAATAAAGATATATGATAATATATGTAAAGAAAGAAGGAACAGCAATATTAATACCATACAGTAGTGGAATTAAGGGAACAAAGAGGTATACTTTATATGGACAAAGGATCCAACTCACCAGAAAACAATGTTCATGAACATTTATGTGCCTAATAACAGCTTTCACATATATGAGACAAACCAGAAGACCTAATGGATGTTGAGCATGGGGGGGGGGGGCAAGGTTGTAACATATCTCAGAAATCAACAAGCAACGGTGGAAAAGAGAATGAGAATATGTATTATTTGGGCTGGGGCTGGGGCTCAGTGGCAAAGCACTTGCCTAGCATGGATAAGGCCCTGGGTTTGATCCTCAGCACCACATAAAATTAACAAATTAAATAAAGGCATTCTGTCCATCTACAACTATAAAAAAATGTTTTTAAGTGTACATATTATTTAAATAACTGAATGAATAAGCTTGATCTAACAGATATATAGAGAACAAGCAATTTAACAAGTAATATACACATTTTAAAAAACACAAACTGGGCACAGTGGTGCCCGCCTGTAATCCCAGTGGTTCAGGAGGCTGAGGCAGGAGGATCCTGAGTTCAAAGCCAGCCTCACCAACTTAGTGAGGCCCTAAGCAACTCAGTGAGACTCTATCTCTAAATAAAATACAAAAAGGGCCTGGGGATGTGGCTCAGTGGTTAAGCAACCCTGGGTTCAATTCCAAAAGAAAGGAAAGGGGAGGGAGGGAGGGAAGGAAGGAAGGAAGGAAGGAAGGAAGCCACACACACATACACACACTGAACACTTTTTTTTAAATGTGATTATTTATTAGGTCACAAAATCTTAAAAAATTCCCCGATCCTGTCTTCCAGAAAAACTGACACAAAAACAAACAAACACCAGACCGCATTTTCTGACCATAAGAAGTGCTTATTGGAAAAAAAGAACACAGCTCAGCCCCCAGCTCTGCCATCGTCTGGGTGTTTCGCAACTTTGGAAAAGCTCTTCACCACAAAGCAGGAATAAGAAAAGGGCCCTCCCTGGGGCAGTCTGAAGACCAGACTCTGCCAAGGTGGATCCCCCCTCAGGGGACACGCGAAGTCTCTTTGCCAAGCACGGGGACAAAGGATCTTTGCTGAAGCCAATTCACCAATGCGGAGGTAAACTGAGGCGCAAGGTGGCGACCCATCCCGGTGCTCCCGCCTCCCAGGGGCTCCTCTGAGCCCTTCAGGCTCCGGGGAAGGAGCCCTAGAAGCCAGCCAGGTCCTTACCTCCCAAGCAGCTCACACAGGCCGTGCAGCGGCCGGACGTACTCAGGTAGTAGTCAGGCTCACAGCGCTTCCCGCAGTCAGAGGGACCCTGCGGGCATGGCTGCGGCTTCTCTGGAGACTGTCCTGGGGAGAAAAGAGGAGAAGCTTCAGGCCAGGGCGTGGCAAAGGCTTTGACCTCCTGGACGGCTCGTCACCACGCCCAGCTCCACCTGCAACCCCCAAACCTATCAGTACAACTAGCGCCAAAGACAGGCACTGACCTTGCCTAAGGTCACCTGGCAGGCAGGAAGGCCACACAGGTGAGGGGAAGGGCTGCTGCGAGGATTAGAGGCACAGAAGGTGAACCCGCGTGAAGCGCTCGGGCTCCCTGGCAGCCAGGGAGACTGTCTGGAATTGGCTGCCACCGTCTTCATTGGGGGTCCGCTTCTCCGCAGGAAGGAGGAGCCATGGGAGATCCCAACCCAGGGTGACGGAGATGTCGATGATCACCCAACCCCCCTGCCTCCCAAGGTCTAGGCCTGACCCTGACAGCAGGGATGCCAGGAGGAATGTCTGTCCTGCCCACCACCGCACCCCACCCACAGCCAGCGTGGCTCCAAGAGCGCCTTCTGGATGGGCAGCCCAATGGGTTTACTTCATTCTTCCAGCCAATAGCATCGGCCCAGGAAGGCACATGACCCAAACAGACCAACCAGAGTACTCCTTCGTCCTCGCCCCCTGTGATTGGTTCCACAGGAGCACATGACTCAGGCCTGCCTGTCCTGGAGCCCCAACTCTGAGAGTTCTCCAAAGGCCATTTGGAAAGAGACCCTCCCACACTACTGGACTCCTGACTGAGGGGGGCATTTAAGCCCAGAGACACCAGATCATGGCCACTGCTGCACAGGCATGAACACGAGCTGGACCTGCCTGTGGCTACTCAGGGGACAGCAGAAGCTTCCTTCAAACCCCTGAATGTAGGGCACCCTGTGGCTTCTCGTGATCCAGCCCATTATTTCTCTGTGTCTTCTTTGGGCCTAACTGGAATTAGGCTTCTTAGTTACAACAATGAAAATTATCTACATCAGGAGCTCCCCCTCATTTCTAGTGACTCTTGCCATTCTGAAGAAGTCTGTGGACACTGCCCAGAATCATAAATGCATAAACCAAAAACAGGATTTCAGAGGGACCCAACTGTATTGATAGGGTTATCAAAGCATCACCCTCAACCAGGTAGAGAACAAGTGGCTCTCGTTGAACAAAGTGTAATAACTACCAAGTTCCAGGCAGTGTTGAGCCTAATCAATACTTTATTATATTAGCAGCAGCTGAAATATAAGAATATCTGTGATTTTTGCCCTAAAAAAGCTACGATTACCACTGGGCTTTGTTGCCCAATTTCATAATGGAAGGAATTCAGAAAGGAATTTTAGTTAGAGGCTGATTTAAATAAGTGAGCCCATTCAGGTGCCCTGCCCCCTGAAATCGACCCTTGGGAGTCCACGGACCCCCAGGGTAAGAACCCCTGCTCCCCAATAACACAAAGGCTCTCTCCCAATACCACTAGCCTGGTGGTTGTCGTCCCCAGCTCAGACACCTCAGTAGATGCCCAGGGGTCTTTCTGAGAGGTCAATGTGACCCCTTCACTCCTTGCTGGGAACTTTCAAGGGCTTCTCCCAGAACAGATGCGCAGGCCCCAGCCAGGGCTGATGAGGTTCTGCCCCACATCCTCCTCCCTCTCTCATCTCAGCCACAGCTGCATCTCCCTGTCCCCCAGGGAGGTCATGCTCCCTTCTGCCCCTTGGCCTTCCAGCCATAACTCCTGCCCAGCCTTCACGTCATCACTGAAGCATGGCTGCCCCAAGACCCCTGACCTAACCCTCAAAGACCCCCCAGCCTCACCTCCTCCACCTAATTCTTGCATTCATTTGTGAACTAATTCTTGTTCTTTTTTTTTTTTTTTTTGGATACCAGGGATTGAGCCCAGGGACACTCAACCACTGAGACACATCTCTAGCCCTTTTTGTTATTTTACTTAGAGACAACGCCTCATTAAGTTGCTGAGGCTGGCTTTGAACTCAGGATCCTCCTGCCTCAGCCTCCTGAGCCACTGGGATTACAGGCGTGGGATTACAGTTTGTGAACTAATTCTCAGCATCTAAATTCCCGGAAAGCCTGTCAGCTTCTCCAGGTGGGTCTTCCCATTTCCACTCCCCCACGAGTCCCCATCACAGGACCTGGCA